AATGAGATTACCGCTATCATGCTGAGTCTACCAAAATTCTTAAAATAATTATATACTATTATTTATTTATTAGTTCTACCAAAGAAAGACTTATTATTCGAACCAGAGATACATAATAAAATATTTTTCAACGTATTTCCTCTCAAATAGACCACAGTAAGTTACTAATGAAAAAGGCATACCATAAAATAGCATACCAGAATTTATGACCGATCATATCAAAGAAAAAACTATTAAAACCGATAAAATAAAAGTGGTGAATCATAATTACATTCGATTATTATATAGGCACTGGGAATCCAGTGGCAGATTTCAAAGTTTGAATGAACCTAGTTTCCGAAAGCAATATGTAAGACGGGTGCGTAGTATATTACGAAGCACAAGCACTGCGGATTTTTTAGTTGCCATGGAGCAGTGAAGTGGAGAGCTCCACGCTTTTGCCATCGAGGTTATTCTGTGTTTGAAGCACGCCGTCGGCTTAATACTCGTTAATGTATTTGTCAATTACGTGATAGATCCACGATCACGCTCATTTTGTCTTGGGTAGCAAGGTTCAGAGCTACACGATCAGCATTAACATGGACCCACACCAGGACAAATCCTAACTGTAGCTACGGTAGAAAATACTGAATATGATGTAGCTTCTGTAATTAGAAATTATCGTTAATAGCTTCGTGCACGTATATCGTTATTGGGAATTACGAAATTAATTTTACAGATTATAAAGGATAAAAAAACTAAAGACTTATGTGACTTAACTAACTTAACTTTCCATATTGAGATGTTTCCATACGAAGACAAATGCATTAAGAGCACCCCTTACATATACCTAAAGTTACAGTTTGGTGCGCAATGTATTCGTCTGTCATAATCACAGAAATCTAAATAATAAGGCACTACAAATTCATTCTACTGTCTTTTAGTATCGGGACGCGTGTCACCGGGTCGCACTATCACACATAGACAAACAATAAATACACAATTTCGCCTACACATCTTTAGCATTCATGCAACAAGGATTAAACCCACTCTCATTTAAGCATAGTGCAGCGCAACGCACATTTCGATAACTTTCTATTAAGCGTCGTTGATCGTCCAGGAGTCTCACACCAAGATATAATAATATAATGATTACTAATTAACTAAAAGTGTCTCAGTAGTAGACGCTTTTAGTCTTAGGTTTAGCTTTTATACGTTTTAGAATTAGAGAAAAGAGGATATAATAAAACGTTTACGATAAGTATATCCATTTATCTTTAATATTCGGATCTTTTGAAAACCTGGAATAATAGAATTGTATTAAATAAACGGATGTATAAATAAAAGAAATACAATATTATATAATCATACAATCTGCAAACAAATAAATATATGTATTGGTGATATATTTATTATATATTTATTATATTAAAGATCTGTAACTGACTTTCTGTTGTTTATTATTTTTCAGTTACCCGGCTTCTTACAGATAGAATTTAGCCTTCTATCCTCATAATATAATTGTTTATCCCTACAATATATTAGAAATGCAACAAACATAATCGCTTATAAACGTTTAACGGGATAAAATATTTAGAAACAAAAAAGTAGAGAAGGTGTAAATAAATGTTTAACGAAAAATCACATTTTATTCCTATTCACATGATTCCATTCACTGACTCGCATTCTTGGAAATTTACGTACGTAACAATATTGTTTATTGTCCATACTATAAATCCATCACTGCTTTTAGCTGTCGTACTCGTTAGACATGAACTAGATTAAGAATCAATGGATATTGAAATGTTAAAACAACTATATTTTCGGCGACAGTCATAGTACTGGAGTTGAATAATTTTATTTAAGTATATTTCATTAAAAACAACGTTAATTAAAACAATTCGTACTTATTTATGAAATGTTGTCCCTTTATTCGAAAATTTGCAAGTTGTGGAAGAATTTCCGCAGTTAGATATGCTGCAAAACACCATTTTTATGTCTCTGCGTCTGAAACAACACTGGTGACCGAAACAAACGCTCCTCGCGCGCTTGTGACCTACGAGTCACATGTGCGTCGACAAGGTCACGCGCTTTAACGACTTCTATTGCCTTATTATTTAAATTTCTGTGGTCATAATATTGCCGTATTTCTTTGAAAATAAACAATGTCAAACTGTAACAGTGAATTCGGAGAGATATATTAAGAAAATAGATTCTAGACTGCTTCTTTTAATTAATTTCATCGGTCGATCTCGTCTGCGTAATCCGCGTATGCTTTGCCTTGATTTAACATCAACACAAACAATAGAAATAATACTTTAATCCGATCGGGTGAAAAATGTCAGTTAGAACGTTTTGTCACTTTCTTGGCTTCGGGGTTGTCAATTGCTGGTTGATGTATGCGTTGTTGCTAAGTTGAAAATATGGAAAGCAAGCATAAACTGGGGTTGTTTCAATACCCCTTGAATTTGACTAAAGTCTTGATGAAGTAGAACGGTGGTAGAGTGGACACAAATTTTATGTGTCCTGGCTCTAGATCTCAATTCAGTCCTGGTCCCTCGGCAGTTTCCAACCCAAAAATCACGGACGTGGGCTGTGATGAGCCTCCTAAAAAAACTCAAGCGGTTATACCCCATCTGCTACCTAAAACAAGGCTGAATTATGTGGGCCACCTGCTACAATTCATTGACTCCAAGAACACATCTAAATGTCGCAATCCGACATATTAATCTAAATGCCGCAGTACGCGTGTAAAATTTCATGCTTTTTTATGCATATTAAAAACAACCGTTTCGAGAGTTAACTTTTTAATGAGAACTTTGGATCGCATTAGGGACCCAAGGTCCACATATGTGGAACAATTTTTTATATTAATAATAATAATAAAAAAATGGTTTTTATTTGGACCCCAGTAAGTGCAAAAAAAAGCAAAAAATTACTTAAACATAAATCCCGTCCAGTTTAGGTCTTACGAGGTTACATCCCCTCATTTACAAGTAAATGTTCATGTCTCCGAAATATTTTTTGTCCTATTTCTCAGACATGCAAGTTTTCTTTCACCGCCGAGCACGTGGTAAATCAGCACTTAAAATTGCAATTAACAATTTCATTGATGCGGACGGGAATCGAAACTGGTTTGCTCGCGTACTGTGAAATTTACAGCAAGAGCTACCCATCTGAGCTACCACAGCTGTATTCACAGCTAAAATTATAATAAAAACTATCTTTACTAGCATAAGTAATTTAAAAAAATAATTTGAAAATACTTTTATTTTTTTTCTTAGGATCATGTGTTAATATAATTAATTCATTTGTCACCTTTTACATGGAGTGCTGAAATCTTATAACTCTTTGAGTATTGCACGGTGCATTAAAACCATTTATCCAATCAAACGATGTAGCTATATAATGCTGAAGAATGCTAATTGCTATTGAAAAAATAATTTACACCTCACATCACTTCCAAAAGAAAGACTTTCAAAAAACATCGTATATATTCAAATCCATGAAGTCTTTAGGCTATAAAACGTGTCAAAGAAATAGGCAGATACATTCACACACTCAAAATACATTACTACCCTTCTTCTGTGGCAGTTTGTTTTATGATAATTATTTATATTCCTATAATATGAAATATTTCTATAATATGAAATATTTCTTTAAAAATTTTAATCACAAATTACCAGTATAATATTTAAATTATGTAAACTAACTACTTCCAAACAAGCACGATTTCATATAATCGTAATGGTAGATACGGGATAATTGCTCCAGATACACGAGGACGACTGGTACTTCGTATTAGAATCGAACTATTGGAAAAGCTGCTAAGTTAGAAGTACTCTATCATAATGAGACTTTTGATTACTTTTGAGAGCAGTACGCTAAACCAAACTTTAAACTACACCAGAATAAAAATGAGATTACGTCAGTGGTATTCTCATCAATTTTTATATTTATATTTTTTATATTTTTACATAATATAGCCATGCTGCCTCTCCATATAATGATTTTAGTACTAACGATTCGGATCGAATAGGGAAAGATCACGCTCTCACAGAATAGAATGGGATAAATCATTAATAAATTATAATAATTATACTTCGTTGCTGCATCTTAAGAGATTTAAAAACTATGTAGTCCAATTTCTGTGGTACTGCAACATCACACGAATTTGAAATATTATTTCCACAAAAAAATTAAATAATAAATAATAAAAAAGATTGTCTGTCGACTTTTGTACGCCACTGTTAGCCTGCCGGCCGGGCGTACCGACCATTCGTTTCCCGTGTTATGCAACATCCGCGTGTGCACCGAAACAACTAAGTATTATTTAGTTAATTTAGGTAAAAATGGGAAAAAGTAACAAGTACGAAGACTGTTGATGAAATTAAAATTAAAATTAAACGTATATAAAAGGATTAGGTTAATGAAAACCACCAGATGATACCCTATTGAAGGATAATCTTGAAAACTTTTTATATTATAATTAATTCTATGATTCTTATTTATAGTGCATTTATCAAGTAACATAAAGATAATCTTTCAATAAGTATAGTCTGCCAAAAAACAGTACATTAATAAAATTAATGGGTTTTTTTTCTAAGTACCTACATATTGATTAACAAGTTCCAATTAATTTATTTCCTCAGTTAATGGCGCGCGATGTCATCCGGAAATAATTTACTAACTTTCTTATTTACGCGTTATGTTACGCAGAAAGTGAAGAGATAATAATAGGGATTGTTTAATTAATTTTGTGTTAACACATTCACGGACAGTACGCTCATTTTCGTGACATTCTGAATTTATATTACGACACAACGGCTATTTACGATAAAATATTTTTTTCCTTATTTGCCACTACGTAAATAAGCGCGGTATTCGTTTACGGTTAATATGAAGATCTACTTTTACTGTCATAACCCAAACAGTATCAAGATTGTACCGTCACAACATAAAATTTTATGATAGTAAATGTGTGCTATCTACACATACATGCAAATTTTGCTATAGTACACATGTTGTGGCACCACGAATGTAGCCGTTGCGTTCGCGTCGTGAGTCAAACGAACCAGTCGCGTAGTGTCACCGGGAGGAGAGGACACGCTCGCTTGCGTCAAATCGTTCGTCGTCGTTCGGTGAATACTTACGTGTTTTTCCTGGTAAGTAATTTAGTGTTATAATATGTTATTGTCTGTATAAAGATAACCGAACAGTAACCAGTCTTTCAAAAATGGTTAATACTTATTGTATCAAAAAACCGTTAGCATAAAAAACACGATAAATTTAAAAATATAATGGAATAAACTTCGTATTATTTTAGTAGGTAAGTATCGATTTTTTTATTTTGTTGTGCATCTAATTCTCTTTCAATTGTCTTCAGATGACCTCAAAAAGAAACAAATTGAGCAGAGGCAAGCCAAAATCTTTGTTTCGAGATGATGAATCTAACCACGATCCATATTCTGACGATGATGGTGAATATGGTTCAGACCACAATTACGAGCCCGCTGATGAAGATGAAGATAGCAGCAGTGACTACAGTGAAATTTTCGATGTTCATAGAAGTCGCTTTGAACGGAATAGACAAAGAATTGGGTCTGAAAGCGAGAAGTCGTATCATGGTTCTGCTGGCGAGCAGTTAGACCAGAATTCTGTTAATGAAAGAAACTTTGATGAAACCGAACGTGATTCCGACATAAGCGATTGTAGTATTTTCGATCACCATCAAATTCAAGTAGCAGGGAATGAGAAAGAAAGCAGCGTTCAAAGGTATGAAAGTCAAGAGAACAATGCTGTTAGAAATCATAAAGATAACAATGATATTCACTTACAACAAAATTATGAGCTGGCAGCACGACTATTTCGTGCCACGTACATAAGCGTACTGTCATTAGAAGACTATAACTTTGACTACGATATGACAGCACGATTATTTCGGGCCACGTACAGAAGCGTACTGTCTCACCATAATTGTACAAATATATTGCTATGTGTCAGGAAGTATATAGGCGTGGTAGTAATTTGTATGGAATTTTTTAGTGTCATATTTCAAACTTGGTGCAGTGTCCAGTGTCCGTGAAAGTATTAAGTATATTATTATTTCCTCAGTGGTGGTACAAGTAAGGAAATGAGCAAATTCTAAATAAATAAACAAATATCAGTGAGGAATCAAATTTAATAAGACCTTTATCATGAAAAAAATAAACCGCTGTTAATTAAATGTTCCAATGTTAGACAAATCTTTATTAATGTAATTCAAGGCATTGAACGGGAAAAAAATTCTTTGGGACAATTTCAGTGAAAACATCAAAACGACCAAGTCAATAAAGAAGTCTAGCCTGCAGATCAAAAACTTACAATTGTCTGCTCATAGAACCCATGGTTACGGGTACACAGGGATACTCAAAGGTGCGTCTCTACCAACCGAGTATGTGGAGAATGATAGGTGCAACACATGCGCAGGCTCGGTACTACCCTTTGCCTTAGCATTCAGCCACTTGCAGGTGGCAGCCAGTAGCATGTCACCCGCCACCAGTCCCACCGTCCATCAACCAGCCGCTAAACTACTGCAGCCGCCCCTCGGAATTCTTTTGAATTCACACCTATGACTTTAGAATTTACATCGGAAAATTTTTTTGGTTAAAGATATTTTATTCTTAAAAGAAATATACATTTCACTTAATGATAAGGTGCAATATTCAAGTTATAAATGGGTTATGAGCATACAGATAAAAATATGTACACATTAAAAAGGAAGGAAAGAGTTTCGTGACATACAACTTACTAGTTTATGCATGCAACTTAATACTTCTTATTTATTATCTTTTTGTGTATTGGTGAACAAGTTACCAATATTTTGGAATACAAGTTAATAAAGTGGGTAGTAAGGAAAGTATTTCTTGTCGTTACCGATTAACGCTGAATAGTGGTTGGCATATGGACAGTTTCGGATTTAGAATTTATCTATTATGTGTTGTTTTAGTTTGCTTTTAAAGATGTTAAAACTATTTAATATTTTTATTTCTTGTGCGTTAACTCCATCAAAAAGTATTTTACGAGGTCACAACATCCAGAGTGTTATCGAGGTTGGTTACAAGAGATCACTAACTGTCAATTTTTATGTGAAATATGCTGCCTGTATTAAGAGTTAACACCAGTTAGATGCAAGATTGGTTTACTGAGATTTTGCATGAAAATGTTAATCCCACCACAACGTATTCCTTTTCCTTTCATTTGTTCCCTTACTTACACCACATACTTCGGTGGATGCAGTCACCGAAGTATGTGGTGTAAGTAAGAGAACAAATGAAAGGAAAAGGAATACGTTGTGGTGGGATGATGAGGTGCGGGTGGAAGTTGAATCAAAGAAGTGTAGCGGCGCTGTCGTCGCCGCCACAAGCGAAAACACACCGAAGCCGTAAGCGTAAATCGCGCTATCAACATTCCGAATCATAAACAGTATATATAGAACATTTCCGAATTATCACACGGAGTGTCGGCCGCTCCCCGGGCAGAACACCTTGCCCGGCGGGAGATCTCCCCTTTCCTTTCACGGCCACAGTGGTGACTCCGTTTCACTGAGTTTCACTGAGTGGTGACTGATCTGAACACGCAACCAACTACCTTCGGAAACTTCAAAGCTTCATCAACGTCATAGAATACCCCACCCATTCGCTCCCGAGCAGATATCGTCTGCAATCTTCATATCCTGCAAGTCATCTAGCTTCACAAGGTTCATCGCAGCACTGGAATAATAATGCTTCCTGTTCCTTCAAGCTACTCTCTGCGCCATACAGTGTTCGGCACGGCTCTGAGCCTCACTGCTCGCCTCTGCTTCACGGCACTCTCGCAGATTACTTGCCTTCTTCTCGACTCACCGCAGACTACAAGGCAATCCACTGGCACTTGCACATTCGTCGGCAACAAGGCTGCACTAACGACCTCCGGTCTGAGCAGGGGGGTGATGTAGCGGCGCTGTCGTCGCCGCCACAAGCGAAAACACACCGAAGCCGTAAGCGTAAATCGCGCTATCAACATTCCGAATCATAAACAGTATATATAGAACATTTCCGAATTATCACACGGAGTGTCGGCCGCTCCCCGGGCAGTACACCTTGCCCGGCGGGAGATCTCCCCTTTTCCTTCCTCATCGGCCATAGAAGAAAGCATGGTTAGATTTACTCTCTTTGAGCAACTAAAACTGGTAATTCTGGTGGTATGAATGATGAGATTAAAAGAAAAAAGGCAGAATTTAGACGTCTAAATAAGAGAGTAAAAGAAGTAGTTGAAAGGAAAAAGAAAGAAGGAACGGATAAGAATGATAGAAGGTTATGTGTTAATTTCCAGGCTAATATAAAAATGTTCTGGAAACCCGTAAGAACTGCCAGGGAAAATACAAAACAGCCTATAATTAATGCTATAAGAGACGAGAATGGATGTATTCTGAATGATGAAGTTTCGAATTTAAACAGATGGAAGGAATACTTTGAAAGCGTGTTTATGAGTGAAGAGTCGTCTGAATTAAATGAACAAGAAATTCCGAAAGAAGTGGAAAGGGTTATGGAGATAAGTGTAGATGAAATAATGAAAGCAATGAAAAGCATGAAAGCAGGTAAGGCAGCTGGATATGATAGAGTATCACTCGAGATGCTAAGGGCTGGAGAGGGAGTGGTGGCAGGCCTGCTGTACACCTTGTTTAATTTATGTTGGGAATTAAAACGGGTACCGGATGACTGGTGTAAAGCAGTTATAGTACCAATATATAAAGGAAAAGGGTCACAGCAGGACTGAAAAAACTACCGTGGTATCAGCTTGCTTAGTATTGTGGGTAAACTGTATGCTAAGGTGTTAATTGAAAGAGTTATGAAAGAAACTGATGGAAAAATTTGGGATGTGCAAGCGGGTTTTAGAAAGGGAATGGGGTGTACAGATCAAGTCTTTTCCATGCGCATGATTGCGGAGAAGTTTTTGGCTAAAAACCAGAAAGTTTTTTGTGCGTTCATGGACTTGGAAAAGGCTTATGACAGAGTGGACAGGAATGTGTTATGGCAAACACTGAACTCATATGGGTTGAGCGCTGGTTTGATACATGCATTGAGGTCTCTTTATAGGGATTCTAGTGCTTGTGGCAGGATCAATGGGGTCTACTCGGACTGGTTTGGTATCCGAAAGGGTGTCAGACAGGGCTGTGTGGCTTCCCCTTGGCTGTTCAACCTATTTATGGACAGGTGTTTGCAAACTTTGAAGGATGAAGAATGTGGGTTATAAATGGGCGAGTTAGCCGTCAAATGCCTTTTGTATGCCAATGATCAGGTCATATTTGCGTTATCGGCGGCTGAGTTGCAAATGATGGTTACATTAATGAACTGGGCATTAAAAGAAAGGGGAATGAAGGTGAACGCAAGTAAGACGAAAGTGATGGTTTTTGAAAGAGAGGAAAGCAAAACGGCATGTGAAATAAGAATAGACGGAGAGTTAATTGAGCAAGTGGATGAGTTTGTGTATTTGGGATGTGTATTTAGCAGGGATGGTAGATATGATAAGGATATATAACGACGAGTAAATGCAGGGAATAGAGTGAATGGGGCACTACACTCTATTGTGAAGAACCAGAATGTATCAAAAAAAGGCACGTATGGTAATTCATAATGCTGTGTTAGTCCCTACTTTAATGTATGGTAGTGAAAGCTGGGTGTGGCAGAAGAAGCACGAAAGTAGAATAAATGCTGTAAAAATGCGGTCTTTAAGGAGTATGCCAGGGTTGAATCTGAATGACAGGATGAGAAATTGCATGATAAGAGATAAATGTGGTATGCAAGATGATGTTGTGACCAGGATTAAGAAAGGAATGCTTCGGTGGTTTGGTCATGTAGAAAGAATGAATGAGGAAAGAGTGACAAAACAAATTTATATGGCAGATGTGAACGGCAGAGTCGGGAAGGGACGCCCTAGAAGAAAGTTTATCGACCAAATTGGCGATATTTTGAAAATGGGCCACGTTAAAAGTACCCTTAACCGACGAGCATGTATGCGTAGAAATATGGATGTAAAGGAGGCAAAAGATGTATGTAAGGATCGTGTCTAATGGAAGTCCGTGGTCTCTGCCTACCCCTCTGGGTGACAGGTGTGAGTGTTTATGCTATTATGTTAATCATACAAATTTGCAGTCACGAGATAAACATTATATTAAATTTAGTTATGTTTGTTTTTCTTGTATTTTACCCATTTCAGTTTCAGACTTAATTTTAAATTTTTAGTTTAGTAATGTCACCGATACAATTGGCATGACATCTAATAGTTAAAGTATAATTTTCTATCTTTTAAAATAAAAATAATACTAACACTTCCAAAGATATTTTCATTCATGATAATAATTAAGACGATTGTTAAATTTTGTAGCAAATGAATGAAATGCACTTCAATGCGTCATCTACTTGATTATAGAATCAATTTATCAAGCAAATTGGTGGACGCTAGACCACACAAATTACTCTTGACTAGACTCTTAAGGCGAAATATTACGTAAAATAGACATTAGATACCCTCTTTTTAACAATACCTAGTTAAAAATAGGTAAAAAAGTCATTAAATCGTGAATTTTAATAAATTGATCAGATGCTATGAAAATTTCGTTCATTATGGTAAATTTTATTTATTTAATAACTGTGTAATTTATTATTAACTGTTTATTTTGATAGTTAAATTTAAATTACCTATCTGTGGAGAGTGCGACACCCTTCTGATACTTGTACTTCCGGGAGTATGCTAGCCATCATATTTAACTCCTGACCTTGACCGAGTGACGAAGAGCTTACCTAATTTGGGTATGGACTGCGAGCCTAAATATTTGCTCCATTTTCAACTTTTTGTTGATATATAACGAGAGTACTAGTTACGAGTATTTTTACGTAGCAGAACCACGCTGCAGCTATATTGTGGTCGTAGCATAAATGGGTCGGCTTGACCGGGAAGGACCATGCTCTCTCACAATTTATAGGAGCTCCATGCTGCTGTGTTTCATATGAGGTACGATCTTATGGGTGACGAAAATCTTAGACATATTTTACTGGAATTAGGCATTCTATGTTAAGCCTCAGGGGTGAAAAAGCATCTGCATTTTGATTCTTAATTGAGGATAAATGTAAGTGTATATGCGTCACAGCATCCACTTACTATCGGGTGAATTGTGGGCTCGTTTATCAACCTCATTCTATAAAAAGTAGACTGAAAGGTCGTTTGTTTCTTCAAATTTAAAAAACTGTATTTTTTTTTTTGAAGACACAGGAGCAATCACAATAAGAGCATACGCGAGAATTCAACAATTCCGGCTTTAGCATATTCTATTGAAATTTAACGACATCTCAAAGTATAGCTTATCAGATATAAAATAATCCCAAGCATTATTTTTCAATTCCCCTTATTCGGTTGCAGGCGTGAATATTTTTTGCGTGTTTTAAATGGGGATTCAATTTTTATCGCTTGAGCCAGTCAGTATATTTTTCTCCCACACCTGAATATTCTGTTAGCATTTTGATATCCTAAAGTTTTTTTACGTATATGTTTGCAGTGAAAGTTAGGTCAGTAAGCCGTATATTTTTTATAGAAAAAG